TAATGGATTCAACCATAGTATCTCGTTGATGTTTGAAATAATGAAATTTACTTGCTTCATTCTATCCAAACCCCAGTGGGAATTTTCTCTAATTTAGATAGAGAATAGTTTAGGACAATCAAACTTTTAGTTCTTTAAGTTTGATTCAATTGTTGATTCCACTGCTCAAGTTTAATTTTTATGAATTTGACCCCATACATTTTATTAAATTATCATATTAGTTCTTTAAGCTTTAAAACACAAATTGACTCTCAAATTAATATAATAAATATAGGATGTTGATGACTTAACATGTACATATAGTTAAATAAGAATAAATTAATCCTCAAATTAGTTTAAATTTTATCAAACGAGCTAGTCTCTCATACTATGTTTTAATTTATTCTTTTATTTTTAAAAATTATGATTCTAATATTTTTCCCCACCTAAGGTACAGTACTTGGAAGGTTTTTTTTTTTCTTTGGAATGGACTGAAATGGGATGGTTTTAGAAGTTTTACATCATTATTTAGAAGAATTTTTTTTTTTAAAAAAAAAAGAGTGCTATGGCATGTGATGACCTTTCAAGACATCCTAGACCCATTTTTTTCTACCCCCGATTTAGGGAATCGAGGACGAAATGACGCATGATATAATTAACATTCTAAAAAGGCTTATTTTAATTCGTCAAAAGTTTTATCGAAGAAAGTCTATCATAATAAAACAGAACGAGTACGTAACTTATTCATTTTGTGTTTCTACTCACCATATATTTCTAAATGTAAGTCAATTCATATATCATGTGACGTAGAGGAAGGGGTACAACATATAACATTGAGTTTTTCCAAGAATAAAATAGTTTTGGCCCAAAAAAAGTATAAAATAGTCCTTATCAATTTTAAATAATTTATATTTATGATTGTATTTTTTTACTGTGAAAAAATTAATGTTAATTATTTCACATAAAATTAAACCAAAATAAATAGTTATATGATTTGAGAAAATTGTTTTAGGTAACAAATCATTTACAATAATATTAATATAACGATAATAAAGATAATTGGCTACACTGAAAGGATAATGTGGGTCTGTCTCTAAGCGTAATTCTTACGCCTTTGGTTTTAAGATAAGGATAATGTAAATACAACAAATGACATTCATAATTAATATAGGCAAAGTAATCAGAATGGAACAGAAACAAAGTAGAAGAAAAGATTAATATATTCATTTGAATTGTGATCATCATGATGATACAAAATGCTTGATTATTATGTTGATTGTTCTCAAGCGTCTTTGTTCTCCTGTGTAATCTCTTCGAAAATTGGCCGTAAGGACTAAAAAGATTAAATATTTGGGCATGAAGCATCCCAAATAATGTAGAAATAAAGTCTGTAGGGGATCGTGGTCCTTGAAAGATAATATTTTTCTCCAGCAAAAATATCAAAATGCCCTTTCGTATTTTTTTTTCCTTGCACTTGTTTCCAGAGTAAAGATTGTTATTAAAGATTCCTGAACGACTTCAATAGATCAGCGTCGGAAAATGATAGATATTATCTTATTTTTCTATAAAAAATAAATTGTTGATCCCAGACCTTAGTCCCCTGTAAGTTTCATTTCTGCATTTGGGACTTATGTCTAAATATTTGAGTCTTTTGGTCCTTGTGGTCAATTTTTCCTGGTCTTTTTTGCTTTTGAGATTCAACCTACCTAACCTTTTTCAATTTTATAATAGGATTACAATTATCAAGGCTTCAAACATGCTAAAATTTCGAGGTGAATCAAGTTTTTTGCTACGCCCACAAAGTTAGACTAAAGTTTAGTATTTCTTTTATTTTAGGAAAAATACTTATTTTAAAAGTAAACAGATAAGATAATTGTTAGTCTTTAAACATTCTCTTGATTATCAATTTAATTTTGAATTTTCATCTAATACAACTTAATCCTTGTAATTTATTAAGTTAAGGAATTATAGAGATTGAGCTGTGCCATATCAAAAAAAAAATAATAATAATAACATTAGCATTGAGCTTTTCTAAGTCAATAAACTATAAGAATTAGGCTTTTCTTAATCAAAGTTTAAGGAATATTGAATTGAGAATTGAGAAACAAGTTTAGGCATAGAAACTTATACTTTCTCAAAAACAAATATATGTCAAATCATATCAAAATTCAATATATATTATATATACACTTTTAATCTTATAATTTCAAAAGTATTAAAATGATGGTACACAAGTTTTGAACGAGTAAAAGTTTTATGGTTGTTTAAATTGAAGCCAAATTAAGGAATTGGTTGATGAATTCATTTTAAGAGGATGAATTCTGTATGGTTCAGTCTATAGAAATATAATTAAAAAGAGAAAAATAGTATAAGTTTGTCGAGTTATATGAATTATTATTAGCTAACAAATAATTACGAACATAAAATATTAAATTAAATTACTTGATTGTTGCAACAATTAAAAACTGCATGATGGTGCGCTGTCTCAGCAAAATTGTGTCAGTACCTACCATTTCTTAAATTTCTTTTGAATTCAAAGGCTGACATTTTGAGAAAATCCATATTATCATCAACATATTGATGAAAAAACTCCTCCACGGATGGTTTTGAATTGGATGATTGTATTTTATTACAGCGAAAAAATTAATGTTAATTAATTATTTCACATAAAAATGAACCAACATGAAATACTTTTGTGATTTAAGAAAAATGTTTTTAGGTGACAAATCATTTACTGTAATAAAGAAAGCTTAGCAAAAAGGATAATAAAGATAATTGGCTACAACAAAAGGAGAATGTGGGTCTTTCTCTAAGTGTAATTCTTGCTCCTTTTGTTTTAATATAAAGATAATGTAACTATTCCCAAAACATTCTTAATTAAATATATACAAAAGTAATATAAAAACACTCCTATGATAGTGATAATATAAAGATGATATTCATAACAGTCCCGGATCATGATGATGCATGAGATGAGGCCAAAGCTCTCTACTGAATATAATGTAATTTTAACTAATTATAAACAATAATTAATATGTAATTTTAACTAACTAATATAAAAAAATGAAATCCAATATATATAGAAATTTGTATCTGCTTCCATTTTTGTTATGCAACAAGAAATAGTAACACTATTCATGATCCAGTTGGAGGAGTAGGAGTTATTTCACAGTTTCATATAACAAAAATATAACTGTGTTTATCACCTTTACTTCTTATCTTAATCAATTTTTTTAATTTTCCTGTTAGTTTATATTTTTGTTATTACTTTTACTCTTCCTTATTTAATAACTTAGTTTTTCTATAAATAAAAGTTAAGAATATAAAATTTACTAGTACAGTTTGATTATTATTTGACCACTAGATTGTAAACCAATATGGCTAAATTGATTTAATGATTAGTGTAGTTTCTAATACATTTGTCCTTTTTTTTGAAAGTAAAACAACACCTATTTTTATCCAATTATAAAATCGAATTTATAATAATTGTTAGATAATTTCAAATTCTAACAAAAAATCAAAAGGATCTACATTATTGTGCCAATTATTGAGCACTTACACTAGGGATATATAAGTATAAGAAAGAGTTATTGGGCTAGCCACTCTAATGGGCCTTAATTAAGAATTTTTTCTTTATAAATCTAAGTTGTCTTGACTAAACAACTTATGAACAAGTACTATTTGGGCTAGAAACTCGATCGAATGCGTCTAGACCATTAGGCTACAACACTACTAGTTAACTAGAAGACTCGTCAATCTATATTTAAAAAAGAAAAAAAGAAAAAGAAAACTGCTCAATGAACTAAGGATAAGGCTATTCTTTGATACCCCAACCCCAAAGATTGCCAAGAATCATTAGTGATGGAAGTATGTATGTGATCATTTGTGTTGCTCTTTATTGATATATGTTCAATGGTGGAAGTAACCTATTTCACCTTTATGTATTGTCCTTCTATTATCTATGCAAAAACTTAAAACAATTGCTTCTATTTTTTTTTCCTAAAAATATAAAATTACCCAGCTTAGCAACCTTTGCAAGAGAACTTAAAAAGAGATATATCATTTTGTTGAACACTTGCTTTTACTTACCCTCATTTGTTTGATCCAACACGCGCGCGCGTGTTGGGACTCTTTCATGGATCACAATTAAAGGCCCCTCAATAATCTATATCAATTTGGAATTAATGATGACATTAATTACAATCTAATCCTTGAGAGTGCTAAATCCCATGAGAGTACAATATCAAAAATGAGCTTAAGCTTTATGGGGAGGTTTCTGGGCAATCTATAATACAGTATGAGTCAGTCATGGTGTTTATCTCTAAAAGTAAGATCGAGCAGCAATTATGGAAATTTCATTTTAAGTTTATGTATGGTTTGGTTGCAAAGATTCCAATAAATAGATATTTGGCATTTTATCTTCATATGATTTGTAGATGTTGATATGCATAAAAGTTCAAATTGAAGATTTCGTTGGCTGGACCACCCACTGATTGAACTAGAGACACCCCATGTCATGAAGCCCAAAAAAGGCCGAAGATGTAGTCCTCTGTTAGAAAACAAACCAAAAGACCCAAATGATTGAAACTTACTATCATAATTGAACTGAAATATTTTTAGTTGTTGAGCTTCTATTGCTTCAACACATAATTAATAGGGTTAAACGGGCAAAATTATCCCTGAACCATTTTTTCAAAGTGGTTTGGTATTCTAAACTTTCTTTTGAAGCAATGTTATCCCGAAGAATTTTGCCCCAATTCTAACTATAAAAAATGTTGACCTTTAAAAATTTCATTTGACCAAATGATTGACATGTGTTATATGCTAAATGGTCCCTTTTCATCCTCATTCTTCTTCATTTGATGCATGTTCACTCCATATAATAATGATCCTAGTCGATAATCCGATCGGACAGTTCGCCGCCAGCGCATAGCTCCATCACTAGATGCACTGAATGCTTATCATCAAACGCTCGCTTCAGCTCCACCATGTTTGGCCGTTTCGATTTGCCAAATGATGCATTATCTGAAGTTCTGAACCTCCCTCCTCATGTCCTTGATGTCTTCTTTGTTCGTGAGCTTCCTCTTCGCGATCTTCTTGCACGTGTACTGTTGTCCGGTGTCCTTGTGTGCGCACAGATGCGTCACACCGAATTGAAAAATGAAGATATATCTGTGTTAAAAACAAAAAACAAAAAAAGAAAACCCAGCCCACCATCCTCTGTTTCATTCCTAAAAACCAGAGAAACCAAAAAAACTCATTCCTAAATCCAGCCCGTTATCTCTGCGGAAATCCCATGCTGCTCTTTCTGCTAGTGTCTTCAACAATGCACCATAGTATGTACGTATAATGAATGAAATGTGATGAAAAAGTAGCAGCAGAAATCAAGTAAACGTGTGTGTGTGTGTGTGTGTTTATATATGATATACATATATATATAGAGGCACCTGAAGTTTCTCACACAGTTGGGTGGGGCTCCAAGATGAGTCATTGAGAGGAATGTTGGATCAAAATCATCATCTATCATGCAGTGCATGAAAGAAGAACGCACTGCACACCATCACACAAAAAAAAAAAAAAATAATAATAAGTACTGCATTTTTTCAAAAAAAAAATTAAAGACATTTATGTATAACTTTAAACTTCCAAAATTGAAAATTTATCCTTAACTTTCATACTCACAAGTTTCCCCCCTTTTTTGGGTTTTTGCTTTTAATGACCTTCGACTACATAAGAATTGATAAATCATGAATATTTGAGTTGAAGCCATCAAAATATTAAGAAAAACAAATTGTCAGAATATTATTCGAAAAGCAACCCGATTGATATAGTGGTTGGTGGTTGAATATTAATTAAAAGGTTAGGTCAGCAATTCTGGATGATACGGTTACTCCTAGGTGGAAGAACTCAAACAGGAAATACAGGAGAATTGAACTTCCCTTTTTCAAATGCTGGTCAGAAAGCAAATCTCAACTATATATTACTTGTAGCCTATATAATTAACTCAGTAGAATGGGAAAAGCTATTACACACGATAATTTTCAACCCCATATACATAAATATACACACTAGCATTATCCTCCTACGGTCAAATCCAAAGAAGTTCGAATTTTTGAAAAGAGGTTTAAGTGAATTGACATTTTAGTCTTTTGGGTATGATGAAGTAGTGTGGACTTGAATTTTATTTGAGTTTGATTTGATTTTGTTAGATAAATGAAATTTGGAAAGCTAGACTACTTCAAATATTGATGTTGGAGAATTTTGAGAAAAATTGTTGGGATGAATTGAAGAATTGAAGTTGGATATTAGTTGAGAGTGGATGCTTGTGAGATGCTTGATGAAATGCCTATTAGGAGGATTTGGAATATGATGACTAGATATGTGTGATAATTTAATTGTCAATTCAAAAATTTATAGAAAACAACTCTTTTTTATAGAAGTTGGAAGTTTCATTAATGGAAAGAAATTGAAGAGGAAAAGGAACTTGGTCTTATAGTCTAAATATTGTGTGAACTAAAGGTATTTGATAAAGTATTTGAAAAAGATGAATTTTGGATTTAAAGGGGCAAAAATATGTGTGATAATGATATCATCATTGATTAAATAATCTTGAAAGACATTTGTTCTTTGCAATGAAAGTTAAAGTAGAACTTAAAGGTTTTTTTGAAAAGATATTTGAGTTGGTAATTCAAAAACCAAATTGCTATTTATATATTCATTTTTGCGATATCTTTGGGATGTTTGATGCAATATTGAGAAAAATAAAAGTGAAAGTTTTCTTTGTTTTATTTCTCTAAATTGTTTGGACTAAAGAGCTTACATGGTAAAGCATGTTTGAGGAAGTAACAATGGTATTACTTGAATACTAGGAATTTAAGGACAAAGCAATGTCACTAAAGATCTATTTGGAAGTAAGTTATATACGTGGGAACTCTAGAAGTAATTGAATAGTGTCCCAATTAACTTACCAGTAAAATTCTTATATAAAACTTATTAATGCCATTTTTATTATTTTATTGTTAGTAAACGACATTTATCAAGGAATAATTCCTTTATTGGATACTTTTAATTTAATAGATAATTTGTTATGTGAAATTATATTATATTGAATCAATAAAGTATATGCAAAACACCTTGGATAAAGTTATGGATGGAATTTGTTAATAAAATTATAATATGTTAATTGGGAAAATTTCTGTGCATGTTTAAAGTTGATTTTAAAAGAGGATTATATGCAAAACACTAGTTACTAATGGCAATTCCATTAACCCTTATTGCATTATGGCTAATTATTAGCTAGTTTAATTGTTGTAAGCTCTGTTCTCATGTTTTTTGTTTTAGGGAAATGTAAGATAGGATCAAGATGGCTATCATCTGTAAATCCTTTTTTCTTAATTTTGAAAATTATATAGATAAGGAAAAACGTGTGTGTATATATAGAGGTCAGGCCCATTCAAAAATTCGTTGTGTCGCTTTAATTGCATCATCAATGAATTGTGAAAAGACATCTATACAAATTAAGAAATGTACTCCTTTTGTCTTGTTTGATATATAAGATATTTTTTGAGATGATTTGTGTAATAACCCTAAATTTTTTTTTTTAAAAAAGAAGATGAATTAAATGATTTTTTTTCCTTTCAATTGATATTTTATTTTATTGTTTTAGCTATATAATAAATAGGGAGTAATGGCTCAGTCGAAACTATGTCAGTTGTTACTTGGAGGTAGGGGGTTTGAATCTTACCTATACTAGAGGAAATTTCATTTTTGTTGGCATAGAATGAAGTTACCAAAATGCCCTTACCTCTTGTGCAATTTTAGAAAATATCTATTGGGTTTCTTGTAATTTTTCCTAATAAAGTTCATCTCTTTAAATTTCCTTTCCTTTGTCTGTCAAGAACAGAGCACAAGAGGAGAGAGGGAGGGAAATCTTGGATCTAGAAATTTCAAGCTTCTCTACCTTCTCCATCGGTCTTCTCCATCTTCTTTGTCTATTCCACGTGTGCTACTCCTATAAGCACCCTACTAGCTAGGTGAACCATAATGCGCCAAGGGCTAATGGAACTGCTGTTAGCAACCAGTGCTCTATATAAAGTCCCTTTTTAAAACCATTTTCAAACACGTGATAAAGTACAATGCTCACAAAATCAAGTACAATGCTCATAGACTAAGTACAATGCTCTGTATAAAGATGGCCAACACACGCGGCATAGAGGGATGGTTATTCGTGAGCATTATACTCACGTTTGATTTCATGGCTTTGAGTCGCGTTTGGTTAGTATTACCCTCATAGACTAAGTGTCCACGTTTGTTTTGTGGCTTCGGCAGCATTTGGTTACTTACCCTTATGGACTGTATGTCCACGTTTATCTTTGTGGCACAAGCCATATTTGGATTATTTACCCTCATGGACTGTGTGTCCACGTTTATTATTTGTTCTGATAAGTCCCTATGATTATAAATTTGATTATTTGGTGATTTGATATCCCATTGGTTTTTATTTAGTAATTTATTTACAAGTATTTATTTTAGTTAGGTGACTTTTTAAAATCAAGTGATATTAACATTTGCTATGATAGTTCAATGGTTTAAGATTTTATTCAAATTTTTATAGAGCCATTTTATTCTAAAGTTTATACATTTTTTTTATGAAAATTGTTGTTTCTTTAGCTTACATGATTATTTCAAACTTTTCTTTTTATTCATGTTAAATTATTTATTGTTGGGATGTTATTCACTGAAAAATTATTTTGGTCTCAGATAGCATAATTAACGCTGTACGTCTTGCTTACCAATGATGGATGTTTGCAAAACAGAATGGAGGCTTGTTCTATAAATATGTCTTATTGATGTAAATATGAAATTTATGTGTTATGTTATGAGATATATGATTAGGTGCTCTACATAACTTATAATTAGAATCCTTAGTTTATTATACATTTTGTTTGCTGGCTGGAAAGAGCCGAGCTCCTGATGGATATAATGTTTAAGGAAAATTTTTGTGATACAGAATTTTTGGGAGATCTTGTTTACAGAGAAGGTTCTATCAAAATTTTTACAAAATTTTAAAATAATTATTAGAATAATTAGTATCAATAGTATTAAAATGTCAATGAATAACTGAGTACTTTTTAATTAAATGAGATAAACCTTGAATTTGTGGCTTACGGGATGTATGTGTGGTTCACATCCTGTGCCGGTCACCCCCTATTTTGGGGCGTGACAATTTGATATCTTAAAATATAATATTTTAATAAAAATAATGTTTCATTAACAACAACTATTGCAAAATTACCCTTATTATCTCACTCATTAAAAAAAATACATAACAGCTATGTATACTTTGAGTAATAAGAAGATACTCCCTTTTTCCAAATCTTTATATTGAGCTCCCTAAACTTCTATGCAAATAACAAACTAGCTTTCAATTTATCCATTATTTTACTAAAAGAAAATAATATAATATGGGGTTTATTTATTCATGAACAGTTAAAATTTTGACAGGTTATTATTTATATGTACATGTATAATGGAAAGGGTTATTTCAATAATTTATATAACAAAATTATATAAAATTAAATTCATATAAAAGTTTAAATGATTTGAATTATTTTATTAGATATTCTTTGATCTTATTTTTAGGGTAGAAAAAGAAAATTAATTTTAAGTATTATTTATAAGGTACTTTACTATTTTTTATATTTATCTTTACTTTTCTACTCTTAATTATTAAACATTAGGAAAATTATTAAAAATAACTCTTTTTATCTTTATTAGAGATAGAGATAAAAATTTATTAAATTTTAAGATAAAGTTAATGAGGTTTAATTTTTTTAATAAATATTGTAATATTATAAAAAAAGTTCATGCAATACGCATCAAGTTGTGTCCTAATAAATTGTCCTGAATCCAGAAGATATATTAGTTGTAAAGAGTAATGGCCATCTATCATTGTCTAATTGACATGTCAATGTCTTATTGACTCGGACTTTCTAATCTATGGAAGGTCTCCTCTCCTCAATTAATATTCATTTAATATTTAATATAAAATTTAACATAAAATTTAAATAACATAGAATTTTAGAAAATTTACATAATGCATGATAGAAAGAATTACAATTAGATCTCAAATAAAAAAATAAATTATTTCTTCAATCCATTTAATTACAACTCAAATTTCTATATTCACATATTAAATTTTAGTATTTAGATTTGTAAGTAATTAATTTTCTGATATATCTGGTCCCATATATACATAATTCTCCATACATAATACACACAGAGTTAAATAACACAACTCATTCATTGGTTTCCACACAATATATAATAAATCCACATATAAGTCTGGAAAAATTATAATTAAGAATCTTGTAAAGACATTAATGACAATTGAAAATCTCAAAACTAGATATTGAAATATCAAAAAGGAATCACAAGGTCATTATTTGCAATTAAATATTTCTAATTATTGAAATAATGAAAATGAGATCACTTATGAATTTAAGGAAAGTTGATCATGAATTTAAGGAAGGTCACTTGTAAATAAATGA